CGCTCCAGCTACTTCAACTACTCACTCTTGTGATGACATGAGGAAGGAAGACCTACAAGAGGAAGAAGATTTATCAAAGTTCTTTGAACATGGATTTGGTTGCTCAGATAATTGCTATGCACTGTTCAGTCACTCTTACATAAAAACATATAGATGTGACATACAAGCCATGGCAAAGCCTGTTCAAGAAATTGCTATTATGAGTCAAATGGCAGCAACATCTACCATGGGGGAATTGTCGACTGGCAACCACAGGAGACAGAAAGAGAGAAAGAGGCAATTTTTTACGTTCATGCATCAAGGTCATAAGGTTTGTAACTATGAGTAACACAACACAAAATAAATTGTTTTTCAACTAGATATGTAGAGTAACATTTCTGAAGCTACATGCATGTGGCAAAAGCAGGATTGAGGAAATCATGAAAAACTACAGAATGAATGGATTAATACCAAGGTATGAGACTGACAAATTAAATGTTATGTACTTAACTTTATTAGAGTTCACGGAAATGCTGGAAAGACACCAAACCATGCTTTGACTTATGATGATATTCTCCGGGTTGTTGCTTTCATCAGAAATTATGCTGAAGTCCATGGAATCAGTCTTCCTGGAAGAATACCTGGAATGAAAAGTTACGAGAATAAGAAGTTCTTACCATGCAGTACATCTAAAAGGCAGGTATACTTAGAGTATGCGGAATCATGTGCATGGCTTTATGTCAAAGCATGTGCTGAAACAACATTCAACATGTTGTGGCGACGCTACCTGCCTTATATTGAAAAAATAAAGCCTATGTCTGACTTGTGTGCCACTTGTAAAGAGATAAGTGGACTGATTATAAGAAGTGCTAACATGCAATCAGATGAAAGGATAACTGAGGTAAGTCAGTGTTGTAATAATACAAGTATTATTTAGAATTTTCAGGCAATGCAAAAGGCACTAGATCACAGAAGTCTTGTTAAAAAGGAAAGGGAGTACTAAAAGGATGTATTAAAAGAGGCACAATTATTGTTAAAAGGGCTGTATACTGATGCAGCAAACAATTACAATCCCCCACTAAAAAGGCCACTTGCTATGTTAAATATTGTAGCACATTATAGCTTCGATTATGCTCAACAGGTAACATTTTATGATAATTATGAAAGTGTATCTAGCTCACTTACTTTTTTAAAGGTTCACTATCCTTCAAGTCCACTACAAGCAGGTCCAATTTATTTTCTTACTCCCAGGAAATGTGGCATATTTGGTGTGTGCTGTGAAGCTATCTCTCAGCAGGTTAATTTCTTGATCGATGAATCATTCGACACTGGTAAGGGGGCAAATCCTGTCATAAGCATGGTACATTTTTATTTGAAGAATCATGGCCTCAACTCAGTCAGTATCCATTTCAATGCTGACAACTGCACAGGGCAAAATAAAAATAATACAGTTATTCAAGTAAGTATATTACATGCACAATAATGAACATTTTAAATGTAATTTTTATTTATTTTAGTACCTCTTATGGAGAGTCATGACAGGACTCAATGCGTCCATTTCAATATCTTTTCTGCCAGTTGGACACACAAAATTTTCTCCTGACTGGTGCTTCAGACTATTAAAGCAAAAATTCCGTAAAGCAGAGGTGGACTCATTGGATGACTTCATTCAAGTTGTAGAACAATCATCTGCTGTGAACAAAGCCCAACCAGTAGGAAGTAGCAATGGTGAACTCATTGTAGAAACACTTGACTGGTGTACTTACTTTGCTACATTATTCAAGAAAATAAAAGGCATCAAAGGCTTTCAACACTTTGTTGTAAATGCGACCTCACCTGGTGTAGTTGCAGCCAGACAAGCTGTAGATGGCCCAGTCACACAATTCAATTTGCTGAAGGAGGACGCTCAAATAATGGAAGATGAACTACCTAATATATTACCACCAAAGGGTATGTCAACTGAAAGGAAATGGTACCTTTACGAAAAGATAAGACCGTTTTGCAGTTACGAATGTAAAGATGTAACCTGCCCACTTCCTGATGCACCTCGACTAACAGGATCATCTCAACAATCAACTCCAGGTGTAGATGATCCACCAGACCTCGCAATGGAGATTGAAGTACCACATTCTCCAAGGCAATCTCTAGAACCACCTGCAACACAAAGAAAATGTGGTAATTGTGGTCAATTTGGTCATAATAGAAGAACTTGTCCATGTAATCAGTAAATGAATAACAGAAATGAGTTTGTGTAATGCACATACTATTGATTCCCTTTCAACAGGAGAGGAACTAGTTTGTCTACAACAAGCAGACTATTGATCCCCTGAAACAGGAGTGGAACAAGTTTGAATGCCAAATATTCAAACTATTGATCCCATAAAGGAGAGGAACTCGTTTGTAATGCTAAGACATACAAACTATGGATCCCCTTTTTTAAAACAAAGGTGTGGAACTAGTATGTGCGTGAGACGTCAACATAAACACAAACACTCATTTTTGTTTAAAACTTACTAACTCAAATAAGAAGGCCCGAGAGAAAGTTAGTCACGAAGTTATCATGCAGGTGATTTGTGTTTATCTGTACAAGTGAGAAGACTGATGATAAAAATGTGTGGGAGAAGAATACCGAAATAGAAGTTATTGCGTCATTCACAGCCAATCAAAAAACACCAAGTGTCACCTGTGACCTTTAGGATATAAAATAAGACACCTGAAACTGTAAGTTCAAAATCAAAAAGTAATGGCTGCCCCAATAGAGGATGTCCTCATTGAGGTCCATCCATCTGATGGTAAGTTGGGAATGTGTAACCCTATAGTGATAACTATAATGCCTTTTGTTTTTGGTAGATGAACTTGGTAAGTTGTTGGTACATGTATGTTTGTGTTGTACATTAAAAGCAAAAAATAATTGTATTTATAGCAGAAAAAGATGAAGGAGACGAAAGGAGACAGAGGAGAGAGGACAGAGGAGAAGGGGGACAGAGACAAAGAGGAGGGTGGAGATAGTCAAAAGGAGAATGGTAAGATTAAAAGGTGAAACATACAACTATACATGACATTGTTTTTAATAGAATCAAATGGCTTAAGTAAGTTTATTTACATGTGTAATTGTGTGATAATTTTTGTAGTGAAGTAGCTATGAGAAGGACTATTAAGCTAAAAAGTAATTTTGCATTCAATTTTAGTTAGTTCTATTTACAACAAATAGGCAAGAAGAAAGAAGGAAGGCCCTTAGGTAATTAAACAATAGTTGAATTACTTGTACTTTAAATTCACATTTCTTAACTAAAGACTTGGAACAGTTCAGGCCTGCTCTCCGAAGTAAACTTAATTTTAAGTGTAAATTAAAGGCTTTATGCAATTGTAATTTAGGGCAGTTGGAACTCATTGAAGAGGGCAGGAGGGAGAGGATGGGGAGTAGTGAGGAGATGGGAGAAGAAACAGAGACAGGAGAAGAGACAGAGACAGGTGAGGAGACAGGGACAGGAGAAGAGACTGGGACAGGGACAGAGAGAGACAAAGGAAAAAAATTTAAAGTATCAAAAGAGCATTATTGAAATGAGTAATCACTAGAATTTTTCCTTTGCTTAGAAAAAGCGAAGGCAACACAGAGGAGGGTGGGGTAAAGGTGGAAAGCGTGGAAGAGGAGGGAGGGGAGGAGGCCAAGGAGGGAGGGGAGGAGGCCAAGGAGGTAGAGGGGGAGGCCAAGGAGGTAGAGGGGGAGGCCAAGGAGGAACAGGAGGAGCCCCTCGTCCAACAGTAAGGAAAGGAACATAATGAAACATAAGAATAACAATAATCTTTTATAGGATTCATCAGCAAGTGCTAAAACTATAAATTATTTTAATGTTAAGTGTAGGAACCTTAATTATAGTTCTAAATAAAATCTAAATAAAAATATTACCTGTAAACTCAAGCAGAAGCGATGTCTGGATGTAAATGACCCAGATGATGTTATTACAGTTCACAAAAAGGACTTTTTTGGCACTAGAACACATAGCAATAACTCTACAACTTTTGTAATGAAATAACTTACTTGTATTTGATGTCTCAATGCATGGCTGGGCTTTAGATCACTCTTAAGACGTCCAAGAAGCAAGAAAAGTAAGTTAAAATGCTGTCAAGTGCTTCTTTCTTCTTTACCCGTTTATTAATTGATTTGGGTGTGGTTTACGTGGTGGGCGTGGTCACATTTACTACGTGAACGAGCGTGACACGGAAACATTGAAAATAACTTAAAATGCCTTTGTCTCTGTACTTGTATTCCAGAGCAATCGTCCAAACAGCGTCCCTAACTGCAAAGTTTTATTGCGCATTGTCATAAATGGGATATCGCTGGAAAGGAAATTTTTTCTCTATCTGTAAGTACCATAAACTGATTTTACCAAAATCCCGCAGATAGCCTGGTTTTCTCATATCGGGTCACAAATATTATGAAATAACTATAACAAATTTGGTTTCCTATATCTTAGAGCGAAATATAATCTTACAGAGCCGTCAAAGCGAAAAATAATTTTACAGCTGCTCAGTTTTGATAATTTTGGACATCTGTACCTAAGCTAGACCACTAGAGTTTAGTGTTTTCCATTATACTTCAGATATTGGATATATTGAGATAAGTCTATACAGTTATTTTTAAAATGATAAGCAGTAGTTTACTTGTACCTCCTGCATATGTGTACTTGGTATTATTGTATTTATTTGTTGTGTTAATGTTAAGTGTAGTTGTTGTGCTGTTAGTTGTAAAAAGAGGAAGTAGAAAAAGGAAAAGTGATTTAACTGGAGCTAAATCCAAAAAAATGCTCCAAGATTTATGATAATAGAAAAGAAATTCAAGGTTTTATATCTAAGAATAGATCAAATGCCAGAGCTTACTACATAAGGCAGTGTAACAGGGTCAAAAGCAAAGGAAGAATTGCATATAAGATAAGTAAAAAGTATAAGATTGCTTGTGCAAAGGCTTATTTCAAGCAGTTTCATGCATTGAACCCAAGTTATATATTGTAAAAATGTAAAAATTGGTACAGCAAAAACAAGGATAGCAAAATTTTAAAATCAACTTGCTATTCTAAAACAAATTATAGGAGTAATCCAGACCACAAAAAAAAAGCCTCTAGAGATCAGTATCATAAGAATCCACAACCAAAGAAAGAAGTATCTAGAGATTAGTATCATAAAAATCCACAACCAAAGAAAGAAGCCTCTAGAGATCAGTATCATAAGAATTCACAACCAAAGAAAGAAGCATCTAGGAATCATTATCAAAACAATCCGAACGCCCAAAAGAGTAAATCAAAGGAACGCTATCGTAAAAATCCTGGCCTTCAAAAACAAAACTCCTTAAAACGGTATTACGAGAATAGAGACGCAATATTACGTGCTACGAAAGATAAATTTCTGAGATATAAATTTTCTGATAATGAAATGGATAAATTAAAAATGGCACTAAATAAGGAAAATAAGAGGCGGCTAAATAAAGATTATTACAAGTAAATAAAAAAAATTTCTATTAAATAAGAAAAAGTAGGGTTGTCAAAAAATAAAAGAAACAAGGGGGTTGAGTTCAACCATAATAATAATTAATAGTTCAATTAATAATTATAAACGTTAATTAATAAAAAATAATTTATAAAAATAGTACAAAGATTTCAAACCCTACTTTGCAGAATTTTATGAAGGAGTATTGTTTCCTTTAAAATGACAAATTTTAATGAAAGATTGATAACCAAACTAAGTTTCGGCCTACACAACTGTGGTGAGTCCAATGACAACTCTTATACATTTATTTTTTAGATATTGTACTGAATCACAAACATTAAAGAATGCAATAGCCAAATAATTATATATAATTTAGATGTTTTAATTGTCATGACAATAATTTATTCAATCAATACTAGCTGAAAAGTTTTATTAATATTTAACAATAATTAATTTACATCATAGAAATGTAGTAGAGCAATCAATAGGTACAAAAGCATAATTATTATTAAAATTCTATTTCTGCCTATAATCATTTTCTCCAAAGTAGGGTTTGAAATCTTTGTACTATTTTTATGAATTTTTTTTTTTTTAATTAACGTTTATAATTATTAATTGAACTATTAATTATTATTATGGATGAACTCAACCCCCTTGTTTCTTTTATTTTTTGACAACCCTACTTTTTCTTATTTAATAGAAATTTTTTGATTTATTGTTTCCATACTTTTTGTTAAATTTTATTAATTAATAATCCTTTTTATTAATAATTACAATTTTTGCCTTAGTTATCAGTTCATTGCTGGAAGAAAAGAATTTTGAAATAAAAACTATAAGACCTATCGTATTTTAAAAACATTTTTCATACAATTACTTTTTATTAAATTTTTAAATATTTGAATCATTAATTATATTCATAGCCTAGCTAATAATTATTCATCATTATTGACCATTAATACTAAGATCTATTTCCTGTTCAGAAACTATTTAAGTTTACATTCTGATTCAATTTCAGTTGCCGTTTTGCTCTCAAGTTAACTACTACAACCTTTTTTTAAAGAAGCACTGAAGTCAGTTCAGTTACAAATTAAATTAGCTATCAATATATTTTCTTCTTACTTGGTAGCATACTTTATATTGGATGATGCTTGTGATGAGCACATAGTTCATCCGCCACCGCCAGTAGCTGGAGATGGAAGGCCTTCACCACCACCTCCAGCACTCCCCATCCCAGTCCGAAGAGCTGGAGGCCCGCCGGAGCTCGCTCCTAGAGTGGCACCGGTGCTCCCTCCTGGAGGAGCACCGGTACTCCCTCCTGGAGGTGCACCGGTGCTCCCTCCTGGAGGAGCACCGGTGCTCCCTCCTGGAGGTGCACCGGTGCTCCCTCCTGGAGGTGCACCGGTGCTCCCTCCTGGAGGTGCACCGGTGCTCCCTCCTGGAGGTGCACCGGTGCTCCCTCCTGGAGGTGCACAGGTGCTCCCTGCTGGAGGTGCACCGGTGCTCCCTCCTTGAGGTGCACCGGAGCTCCTTCCTGGAGGTGCACCGGTGCTCCCTCATGGAGGAGTCCCTCCTGCCCCAGGACTGCCTTTGCTTCAACAGCAAAGGCAGCAGATAATAGCCCAGCTGAGGGCTGTGAATAGACAGATAGTAAGTCTTACTATGATGTACTTAATGTTGCCTTTATATTCCGTAATAGTATGCCAATCTACCAAGGAGAGCTGGCAGGGGCAGGGGCCGCAGGCCGAGGCCCAGAGGGGCCGTAACAAAAAACTTTAACTTTTATTAACTATGTACTTCATTATAATAATAGATGTTAAAAAATAATCAAACTGCGAATTAAAAATACATCAGCGTTAAGCCAGGAAGAAAATACATTAGTAATGCCAAGTGTTTGACAAGACATAAATGCTTATTCCCTTTAGTTTCTTTCAATATTTCTAGAAAAAAATTCACACTATCATAATGCATGATTTAAAAAAATTAAATCTTACCTAATAATCATTATTATGGACATACTGATTACGTACATAAACATGCACAGTGCCGTCATTCATAATCTACAAAAATAACACATGAATACTTTCCAATGTGCAAACAATTGTTTTTGTTAATGAGAACATGCATGCACATAATAATATTATTACAATAAACTAACAATCATCAACGAAAGATGTACTGGCAAACAACAACTTATAGTGATAGTACCTACTGTGGCCATTCTTATATGACATACCCATCAAACAAATATACATATACATGTAACCTTGAATCATACCCTATGACAAAATACATAGGACACTTTGGAATCTCACAATATTTAATCTTACTACATATTCCATTCCTTAGACTACAGTAATGTAAAACCTATGCAGGCACCTCCTGCAGTGTGATACAACGACTCATCAAGGACCTACAATAAAACATTAAGTTGCATTTAATAATGAAATTAATTTAGTTACAACAATCAAAATCCAGAACTGCCTTTAATTATATTGCACATTCCAATATCAAGCAATGAAAATATTGCTGAATCATCAAATCCTTTCCAGCTGTCATTACCTGTAAAGCATAGTAACATAAACACATCAAATGCAAGCAATGTAAACACACAGGCTAATAATAACAATAGTACAAACAGTAATGGTGAACAAACTCTATTACCAATCACATGGAACTTTTGTATTCCTTGTAACTCCATTATAGAACATATGTACTTACAACAAACTATAAAAGGATGAAATTCATGCATGATAATCATCAAACACTACAAGCACAATAAATGCATCAATAATCCACTACATGTACACTATACTAAACATATGTGACCATAATTGACAAAAGGTACCTTATGGCGGGTAGTGAAATGTGTCTTTATAGCCATAAAAATCTAACTTCCTGAGCTCCATTTATTATAGAATTACTCCACAGGATGCAAAAAGTTACTATGTAACTTTTAGAAACAATGGTTCTTCAACAGAGCACTCACAGGTTGATATTTTTCATTATAATGATGAATTTTATAAGGTACCTTTTGTCAATTATGGTCACATAAACATGGATATGCATAATATACCTTATGTTTGTCACAAACATTCATTACAAACCACTAACAAGATACAGGTGCTCACATAGAGGAACGTCCCCTTCAGCTGTTGAGTCTCATTCTAAGTCTGACCTCACTCTTTAACACCACATTGTAGTCCTAAGTATACCTGTATAAATTATGAATGTGACATACAAGTACTAACTAATAATGATAATAGTAGCATCTACAATGTTTCTGATTGGATCATACATGTATGTGCATGCATGTATTTTAGACATAATATTGCTTACTAATGCTAACCTCAGTTAAGATACTTTCATGACCTCCTTCATACAAAATATCATTGTGTGCATAAAGTATTTCCAAAGTGCAAACAATATTTTTTAATGAGAACATGCACATGTTACAACAATCATCAATACAAGATGTGCAACATCAGCTGGCAAGCATTTATTATGCGCACAGCTTTGATGGCAGCATCATTCAAATGCGCAACATCAGCCGGCAAGCATTAACTTAATAATGCGCACAGCATTGATGGGAGCTTCATGTGCAACATCAGCTGGCAAGCATTTACATACATGTAATGCGCACAGCATTGATGGCAGCATTAACATGCATGATGATCATTATTATATTATGTACAGAATTACTGCTTGAATAATACTAAATGTAAAATAACAACTTTTAATGTTACTCAAAAATTTTTCATGTCATGACTTCAAATTTTGTCAGCAGAGCCAAGATCCATAAGCATCAGTTATTTGTAATAAACATGTAGTACAAGCCACAAACAAGATCCAGATTTGATAATGACAGCTTCCTCCCTTCCTAACCCTCTGTCCTACATAAATATGATAGTCACACAAATTTGAATCAATGCTAAACTCTAATGAACAGTAAACCTCTTTCACACCCTCTCCCTGTCCATTATAGCAACAAGTAAACAATATTTACTGTTATTTGTTATACCTTGATTAATCTCACTTCCTGAATGCAGTTAGATCTCTTCATACTGAGCAATACTGGATGGATATGCACCAATGATTTTCAGACACACTCACACATCATTCACATTGCACAACATGCAGTGAAATATAAATGATGGACCTCCCATAAACCATACCCACTTTCCATCAACAATCAATGGTTAAGAAATATTAATAGACTTAACTGCTTGGAAATGATTAGTACCAACATGCTTCAAATACAAAGCAGGTGTATTAGTATCACAAGGAATGCCATATAAAGTTTGGGTTCCATATCTAGCCCAGCCAACAAAAGTAGGAGTTAGTGAATATGAATATATGGTTGTACCTAATATTGCAAATAATGTAATTATCTCTGTGTCAGTGGCCCACACGCAATTTCTATACATTTTGGACTTATTTATGTAATCATATATGCTTGAATATCTCATTGCACTTAATGTACTATTAAACAATTCTTCTTCAAAGTTTGGCATATTACTAACAATTGCTTTACGTAATTCATAATGCTGAGAAATTGACTCAGTAATGAGATATGAAAGTGCATAAAATAAACAGTTCCCATCACCAGGGACATCAAGAGTACTATTAGGAACTCTTTCATCTGACAATGGTGTTGTTGGACTACCAGGTAAGATTCTAGCAGCTGTGACAAATTTGAGATTTAAAATCTCACACCACCTTCTTTGATATTCTTCATTACCAGGGTAATAAACATAATCCCATTGTCTCCTTCTCACAATATCAGGGTTGGGAGGCTCTTCATAAGTAAAGATGACATCATCATCTTTTTTTGGATTACTTGTCTTTAATTTAATGCTTGACAGTTCTATAAATACAATCAGACTACTACTACAATGGTCATTTTTTACAACACACTTGGTTTTATCATCTTTTGGTTTACATTTTATGTTTGAGAGTTTTATAGATACAATGAGACTACTACAACTATCATCATCTTTGACATTAAATTTGGTTTTTAGGTCTTTCAAATTAATTGAAACAATTAATTTATCATCTTTTTTTGAGCGAGGCAATACCAAAGCAGTATTGTCAGTACTGCTGTCTACATCAACTTTTCTTTTTTGGGGGCAAGGCTTATTTAAAGCATTATTGTCACATATTTTACTCTTTTTGGGGCGATTAGACTTTTGTAAATCAGTACTCTTATGTTTATTGCTACTAACAGTACTGTTACTAGTACTTTGTACATGACTTACAGACACCTTGGCATTCTTACTACAAGGTTCACCATCATCTATTATACCAGTCACTTGAATCTTTCTCTTCTTTCCTTTACTTTTCTTGATTTGAGGTAAGTCATTCCGAAAATTAGTTCTCAGTCTGTTAATTTCATTAATGCACAGATTACTAACTTGAACAGAGAGAGGATCAAATGATAATAAATGTAATCCATTTAATGTACGTACACGAGACAATGCAACATATGCCATACCATCCCCAAAAACATCAGTCAATAAATCAATAATGGCTGCATCTAGTGAGAGGCCCTGACATTTATGTATAGTAATAGCATAAGAAAGTAAGAGATGAAACTGTTTCCTATGTATATACAAATTCTTAGATAGCATAAATCTAGATGTAACCCTTTCTGTGTCACAAGGTACATCAATATGATCAAATTTGATTGATATACGTGTAGCATAAATACCCATTACTGTACCAATGGCACCATTAACTAATCCTACAGTCACATCAATATTATGTCTTAGCATTACTCTACAGCCTACTGCTAAAGACAATACAGTTTCTAAACCAGCTGTTTCGCTTGGTTGATCTTTCAGTTTATCTACTTTTTTATCTGTTTTTTGTCAAATTTTGCTGTGCTACCACTTTCATCAACAACATCAACACATGCTAATTCTATTTTGTCAGTTTCTAGACTTTCTAACATTAATTCATTGATTTTTTGGCACGCATCTACCTTAGAAAATAGGCACATTGGAGGATTTGTTCCTTCACTTTCCAATTCCTTATATTTTTCTTGTATTGAAACATTAAATACACGACTTTTAACCGTATCAATAGTATCATCAGTCAGACAGCCATGCCTAACAGAATCAAGCATTTTAAAGAAAGTTTCGTCTCCTTTCTGTCGCTCATTGATTGTTAGTTCATCATATTCTACTGTTTCTTTCCATATGTTAACTGCATTTGCTGCTCCAAGTCTAGTTTTTACTAGTTTGTTGCTAATTTTGTTAAATACTGGCCTACCATTAACTGGTGGCAATTGTAAGAGGTCACCTACAAATAAAATATTTTTGGATCCGACATCAGTTCCAAATATATCTTCTAAACGCATGTGTAAGTATGCTAGATTTAGATTGGATACCATAGATACCTTGTCTACTATTATAATTTTTAAATCTTTAAGTGTCATTTTTATTCTTTTCTGAGCTTCTTTACTCAAAGCCCAATAACCAGCTGTCTTTCCCTCATGCTCTATTGGTAGCTGAAATGATCTATGTATTGTTAGTTCACCTACATTAAATGCGGCTATACCTGTTGGTGCTACTATAGCACACATAATTTCACTACTTTTTGGATGCCATATGTCATCCACTAGGCATTTTATTGCCTCGATCAAAAACGATTTACCAGTTCCACCTACACCACTAATAAACATCCTTAGCGGTGTGATATTATCTATTCTAAGTAGTCTTGAAGACTCATTCTCTAATAAGTCTTCACGTTCTTTTTGACTTAAAAGATGACTCTTAATTTTATCAAAAATTCTTTTTTGATCTAGATTAAGCATTGCCTCTCTTTGCTCTAATGTTAAATTAGGTACATTTATGTGCATGTCAGCAATATCAGCTACAGCTTCCATTATTTCACCAAGTAATTGAGGCTCATCACCTTCCATGTTATCAGGAAGTTCTTCAGTGAAACCGGCTTTATTTCTTGCATCGACTATTTTCTTCCAATTACGTTCAGCTTCTAATAATTTCTGTAGTGTGTTGAAATGATTTTCAATGCCACGTATAGATGCTTCTCTGTGACGCCTAAAAGCTTCTTCCATTGTTTCTCCTTCCATTACAAGTGTGCTCTCGTCTCTAAAAGGCACAAATAAAAATATTAGCGAGTAATAAAAATCGTCTCCTTCAGCTTCTTGCATAGGATTAAATTTCCTATGGTTTTAAAGGACTGGCTTTGATCGAAGTTTGTATTCTCTTTCTCCATTTCCTCCAATTTTATGAAATTTGTAATTGGCAACAAATTCATAAAGAGATACATCTTCCATGTTATTCGGTCTTGTTGGATAAAAGTCTTCAATTATGCTAGGATTAAAGATGTCTTTCGAAGATCAATCCGTTTTAGTTAAATATGAATAGTTTTTGATTTTTCTGCTCCTCTTATGAGGCAAGTACACATTAACGTACTGTACAGTTACTGATTTCATGTATAAACTTTCACCAAGAAGAT